TGGAGGAAGAACATTAAATGAGGTACCGGGTGCGTGGTGCAGTACATGCGGCGTAATTTGAGGGAGTTTCTGTGGAACTCACGTCATCCTCACCCCCGGCGCGAAGAGCACGAGCCCAGAGCGGCCTCCGGCACCGTTTCCGGACGGATCCGGTGGATCCGCTGGATCCGCTGGATCCGGTGACGAATCCCAAACCGGCGCCCTCGCCTGAGACATCCTCACAAAACGGGCCCCGGGGGGGATGCCCAGAGGAGCCCAGAGCGGCCTCCGGCACCGTTTCCGGACGGATCCGCTGGATCCGCTGGATCCGCTGGATCCGGTGACGAATCCCAAACCGGCGCCCTCGCCTGAGACATCCTCACAAAACGGGCCCCGGGGGGGATGCCCAGAGGAGCCCAGAGCGGCCTCCGGCACCGTTTCCGGACGGATCCGCTGGATCCGCTGGATCCGCTGGATCCGGTGACGAATCCCAAACCGGCGCCCTCGCCTGAGACATCCTCACAAAACGGGCCCCGGGGGGGATGCCCAGAGGAGCCCAGAGCGGCCTCCGGCACCGTTTCCGGACGGATCCGCTGGATCCGCTGGATCCGGTGACGAATCCCAAACCGGCGCCCTCGCCTGAGACATCCTCACAAAACGGGCCCCGGGGGGGATGCCCAGAGGAGCCCAGAGCGGCCTCCGGCACCGTTTCCGGACGGATCCGCTGGATCCGCTGGATCCGGTGACGAATCCCAAACCGGCGCCCTCGCCTGAGACATCCTCACAAAACGGGCCCCGGGGGGGATGCCCAGAGGAGCCCAGAGCGGCCTCCGGCACCGTTTCCGGACGGATCCGTGGATCCGCTGGATCCGCTGGATCCGGTGACGAATCCCAAACCGGCGCCCTCGCCTGAGACATCCTCACAAAACGGGCCCCGGGGGGGATGCCCAGAGGAGCCCAGAGCGGCCTCCGGCACCGTTTCCGGACGGATCCGCTGGATCCGCTGGATCCGCTGGATCCGGTGACGAATCCCAAACCGGCGCCCTCGCCTGAGACATCCTCACAAAACGGGCCCCGGGGGGGATGCCCAGAGGAGCCCAGAGCGGCCTCCGGCACCGTTTCCGGACGGACGACCTGACTGCATAACACGCCTGGATATGCCGACGGGGGCGAAGGAGGAGGAGGAGGAGGAGGAGGAGGAGGAGGAGGAGGGGGAGGGGGCAGGCGAGGGAGCCCTGGCCCTGTGGGAGGGGCCCTGAGGGAGCCCTGATGGGCTTCCGGCACCATGGAGAGGTCCTGTGGGGCGGCCGCCCCTTCTTCTCTCGGTCGTTTCCCTCTCGCCCAGAAGCGCGCGCCCCTTCTTCTATATATACAGAAACTCCCGATCAACCGCAGAGCGGCGGATGTTATATGCAATGGTATCTATGTGGTGCGACCTACGCGCTGGAATCTGTGTGGTTTTGTATATGTGGTGAACGCTGCGTGGCGCATGCAACGCGTTACAAAGCAGCTCAAACCAGCGCAATGCAACGCAACGAAAGCAATGCAAATCAGTCGAACGCAACGCAAAGCAACGCGAAGCAATGCAAAGTAACGCAGGCCCAAACTGCGACGGGACGGCGACGGCGACCACACATCCGCCAGACCGACGGGCAGGCAGAACGACAGGGCGGCGACGGCGGCCGCATAACCGCCAGACCGACGGGCAGGCCTAGAAGAAGGGCGGCGACGGGGCGGCGACGGCGACCACATAGCCGCCATACCGACGGACAGGCCCAGCTCTTTAGTAAAGACAGAATAACCCTTGAAGACAAACATTGGTTGGGAATACGCATATGTGTGTGTTAGCCAGCGCGGCCCCCAAACAGTGTGTTTCTAGCAGTCGATGTTAGGACACTTACGCGGTGCAATCTAGGTGGCGCGATGTTGTGCATTCCATGTGGTGCAGACTACGTGGTACAAAATAGGCTGTACATTCTATCTGGTGCTATATGCTGTGTGAAACCAATGTGGTTAAATCTACGCAGCTCAATATATGATACGCAAGCTACGCGGTGCAGTCTAAGTGGCGCAATTAATCTTGACCGTCTTGAAGCTGTCCTCTCCACTGCTCGCGCAAACATCCCACCCACCCACCCGCAACTTGGTTTGCAAAACCTCTTAAGACCGACTACGACGACACAGACGACAACGACTACGACGACACCGACGACGTCTCCGACGACTTCGACGACGACAACGACGCCGACGACGACGAAGACGACAACGACGACGCCAACGAAGGCGACGACGAGGGAGGAGGAAGGACGACGACGGCGACAACGACGACAACGACGACAACGACGAGGGAGGAGGGAGGACGGCGACGACGCGAACGACGAAGAAGGAGGAAAGACGGCGACGCCGACGACGACAACGACGAGGGAGGAGGGAAGACGACGACGACAACGACGACGACGACGACGGCGACGAAATAGGAGGGACGACGACGAGACGCCGACGACGGAGGACGACGACGACGAGGGAGGAGGAGGAAGGACCACCATGGCGACAACGACGACGCAAACGACCACGACGCCAAAGAGGACGACGACGACGAACACGGGGAAAGACAGAGGACGACGTAGGCGACGACGACGACGACGCGGGAGGAGGGAGGACGGCGACGACGACGACGACGACGACGACGACGCAAGAGCGCGCGCGCGCACGCTTTTGTTGAAAATCCGTGTTGCGAAACCTTGGGTTTTTGTACATTTTTTAGACACGATTTTGAAATCCTTCCGAAACCGATGGGTTTTGAAGGTTTCCGGCGTACGCCCGCGACGACGCGCGCGTCTGCACTTCGTCCCGTTTTTTTGCAGAGGATTCTCGCGATGGCACACGCGCAAGGGCGCTCGACAGATTCCGACATGCGCACGCGCGAAGCCCGTTTGGTAGCATGTTGTGAAAATATTGAAAAACCCATGGTTTTCATAAGATGTCTCAAGAGCTCGCGCGGAAGCTTTTTTAGCAAATCAGTGTTGCGAAACCCTGTGTGTTTGTATGTCTTTTTGGAAACTCGATTGTGAAATCCTTCCGCCACCGAAGGTTTTTGAAGGATTTCGGCATGCGCGCGCGACGACGCGCGCGCATGCACTTTGTTTCATTTGTTGCAAAGGATTCGTGAACAAGTGTTATGTTGGAACAAAAAATGTCACCGCATATTGTTTTTCACAAGGGGAACCTCAGGGGGGATACCGGCCGGACTGGGAAAGTGTAAATTCATATTTAGGATGGACATGTGGTCAGAGTCATATATGATTTACATACCCGAAAGGTGTACCGATAACGCCGGCGAGGGGTAGATCCTATTCTGTTTTTAGAAAGGGAACTAATTTTTGTTCGCACTGAGGTGTCCACCCCACTGTTCGCGCAAACATCCCACACATCCACCCGCAACTTAGTTTGCAAACCTCATGCGGTGGCGATTGCGATGAGTGCTTGGCGCTGGCATTTTTGCGGCCGCGCCAGCCCGCGCATGCGCGCGCGCAGCGGCCAGGTAGTTTGGCGCGGCCGACGAGGCCGCGGTGGTGCTGACCGCTCGGCGCATCCCAGCGGGCACTTCAGTGCGGTCGGCGGCTTGGTCGGGCGCGGTATCATGGCAACGTCGACAATTGCAGACCCGACGACGATGATAGTGGCGATGTTGGTGGCGACAAGTGTAGACACGATGATGATGATAGTGGCGGTGACGGCGCCGATGCCGGTCACGCCGACGACGATGACGGCGTTTTCGCGTCGGCGATGAAGGTTCTGAAAGGAATTCAAAATGCGCGTGCGGCAGACGCGCGAGAGAGGCTCGCATGGTATTATGTAACACGGACCGTGCCGCCCCAGCACGCGCGCAAAGGCGTTCGAACGATTTCGACACGCGCGCGCGTGAAGCCCGTCTGGTAGCCTTTTTATGGAAACGTTGAAAAAACGCATGGTTTTCGTGAGAATTCGCCAGGGCGCGCGCGCACGCTTTTGATGAATATCCGCGCTACGAAACCGCTTGTTTTTTGTATCGCATGCTTTTTGAACGCTCGATTTAAAAATCCTTCCGAAACCATGGTTTTTGAAGGATTTTGGCATGCGCGCGCGACGACGCGCACGCGCGCACTTCGCCCCATCTATTGCAGAGGATTCTCGCGAAGGCGCGCGCGCCAGGGCGCTCGAACGATTTGGACACACGCGCGCGAAGCCCGCTTGGTAGCACTTTCTGACGTTTTGTTCTACATATGTATATATATATATGCTCACACCCCCTCCCAAGATCTACCTTTCCCGTGCCCTGTTCCAGTCATCCCCTCCTCCTCATCTTCCCTTCTTCATCATTTTCTTACTTCCCCTCCGTTGTCCCCCCTCCTCATCGCTCCCACTTGCGTCGTTTGCCCGTGGCGAATAATGGAGCACAAGTGAAAACCATCTATTGCACGGGGTATTTGAAGTTACCAGCGCCCCCGAACTACAGCTGACGGAAGAGAAGAAGGGGCGTAACGCTCCAGATCACCTTGGGGCGAAATGCTCCAGCCAGATGCGGGGCGAAATGCTCCAGGGGGCGGAATGCTCCAAAGCGGGCCGCGGCGGCCCGTCGAGCAGCAGCGGCGGCGACCGCGCGGTCTGAGGCCTAGCGGCGTTCGCTGGGCGCGTTGCCCGCCGCGGCAGGGCGGCGCGGGGGGCGGGGCGGGGTCTCGGGCGCGTAGATGGGACGTGGGCGGGAAGAGTTGCAGTGTAATTTCATCGCCAATGCGACGCATTGGGACGGGGCTGACAGCCATGCTATTGCAGGGAGAGAAGACGCGCGCAGAAACCTATCATCTTGACATCCAGGCCAGCTGTCGCAAACCTTGGGATGAATGCGCGCAGCACGTGATGCCATCAGGGCGGTTGTCTCTCACTCTCCCTCTCGTGGCCAGATTGGCTCGACGTCTGCGATCGCGCGCCCTCGGCTCCACCCTGAGCACTCCGCATACTTGACGACCAATTGGTCGAGCGAGATGGCCGCCAACGGCGATGCCCGACGTGAGTGCCAGCGCCTCCAGGTTCAGTTTGAGGCGGGCGTCGACTCGCTCGCGTACCATCGCGAGTGGTGTTCGCTGAAGTACCAGGCCTTCCAGGAGTTGCTTCCCCTGTGGCAGGCGCGTTCTCTGCTGCATGACGATGTCCGTGCGCGCGTCGCCTCTTTCCTGGTCCCCACTGAGCCGTCGTGGACGTGGATTCCACGGGCGGCGCTGGTCCGCGCGGACAACGACCCTGTGCTGCCGTACGTCTGCTGCTTAGCGAGCATGGCCCGCGGGTCTCGAACCGACCGATCGGCGGCCGCTGCTCTGGGCTCGGGGTGCATATACATACAGAGAGAGAGAGAGAGAGAGAGAGAGAGAGGAACAAAAAAAGCGCCAGAGAGAGAGAGAGAGAGAGAGAGATAGAGAGAGAGAGAGAGAGAGAGAGAGAGAGAGAGAGAGAGAGAGAGAGAGGCGGGGAAGGTAGCGAGGGATGGGGCGCGATCGATAGCGAGCCGACGCACCCCTAAGGAACTCCTCCACTGGATGCGCCCCGCCGCGTTGGCGGTCGGCTTCCCCGCCGACGCCGTGCCCGCCTCGCAGGAGGGCGCGCGGCTGCGGGTCAAGTGGCGCTTGATGGAGATGCAGATGTATTGCATCTACGACGAGCTGGAGGATCCGCCCTCGGAAGGCGCTGCCTGATCGGTTGCCGATCAATCAATTGTTCGATCGGGGTGGTCGGGGCATTGCCTGATCGCCCGCGCCCGCGGGGGGATGGAGGGGAGAGCACCTCTCGGGCGTATGAGTGGATATAGACAGTGGGGGATCCATCGGCCGCGGTCGATCGAGGCGCCCGTCTGGGCCTCGGTCGTTCCCAAGGACGTCAGGGCGAAGATGGCGACGCTCGACAAGACCATCGAAGGGCTGAGCCGCATGCGGCCGCGGGCGACGTGGGCGTGAGCCAGGCGCCATTGCCCGCCGCGGAGGCGGCGCGAGTTGGGCGGAGGGAGAGGGGGGGGGGAGGGCGGGGGCATGGGCGTGTAGATGGGGAGGGGGCGCGGAGATTGACATTTCAGTTTCATGGCCAATGCGACGCATTGGGGCGGGGCTGGCAGCCAGCAGTCACGGCATCCCACGCCGATCACGTGCGGCGTGCTGAAACGCCTCGCCCAATCGTCATCTCCGCCTTCTTCGCTTCCGCCGTCGCCATTGCCATCGTCGTCGTCGCCCTCTCGTCACCCGCTGCTGATGCCAGGGTCATCGCCGTTTGGGGCCAGGGCGTCTGGGAGGAGCCCCGGACGCGCGTCTTCGGTATCGGGGCACATCGCCGACTTGTCGGTGATGCATCGCCGACCCCGTGTCGTCTCTTCCGCGAATTCAGGAGGCAGTTTTGCAGGTCGAGCAACCAGCGTTCGTTGGTGCATTGTTGTCCATTCGCCAGGGCGCACGAGCTATGCCGAACCTGCGCGCCGCACATGCATGCTCAAGCGCATCGGCGCGCCAGGGGATCAGGCGCGCCTGCCCGTTCCTGGCCAGGGTCGTCGGCCAGAGCCGCGCCATGGCGCCTGGGCGCGTCTTCCCTGCGCCTAAGCGGGGCAAGGCGCGCGCTGTCCTCAAGACGGGGAAGCCCAAGCGGAAGGCCCCGAAGCACGCGGGAAAGACAACGGCGAAAAAGACGGCGCCAAACCAGAGTGCGAGGAAGGTGCCTTACGTGCGGCACGGCAAGAGAACTTGCACGTCCAGGCCGGAGCGCGTTGCTTTCAAGAGGAACGCGTTCGATTTCATACGCGCAAGTGACCGCGAGATCGTCGACATGTTGCTCGAGGACCAGGTCTTGGAGAATTTGGAAGGCCAGACGTGCTCTTTCTGCACGAAAGGAACCCTCGGCCCCCTGAAGGACGTCCAGGGCCGTGGACCGCGGCACCGCTGCAACCACAAGGGTTGCCAGAAGTTCTCCTTGCCCCAGAGCGGGCACATGGTCTTCAGCAGCGGCTCTGGCGTTGCCGCGGTGCCCTTGCAGGAACAGTCTGCCGTGCTTTTCGCCGTCGTGAACAACGTCCCCCTTGCCAAGATCCATGCGCTCACGGGCAAGAACCACAAGGCGATCGAGAGCATGAGCAAGTTCAATGATGCGTGCCGAAAGAGCGACGTGCAGCAGCAGGAGAAACTGATTTCTTTCGGAGGAAAGGGGCGGACGTGGAAAGATGTCGAGGCCGATGAGGTCGACCTCAGGGGCGATCTACTGCCTGATCACGCGGAGCGAGCTGAGAACGAGCGGGTCCAGTGGGAGCAGTGGGGCGGTGTCATCGAAAGAGGCAATCGCAAGACATTGGTGTTGACGCGCCTCAAGCCAAGCCTCACCAAGCAGAGGGCGCCAGGCCCAGGCGCGATACGCTTGCCTGATTGGACGCCGTTCGCTCACAAGAACTTGAGCAACAGGAACGTTGTGCTCCACACGGACGGGGCAAAAACGTACAAGGTCAAGGTCGAGGGGATGCTCCACGACCACGTCGTGCACCAGAGGAAGCGGCTCGTGAAGAATGGCAAGCCCGTGAAGAAGAACGGCCGCCAGGTGTGGGTGAAACCCACGTACGCCAAGAAGTTTCAGCATAAACTTCCTGGTGGACGAGTCCTCAAGTGCAAAGGCGGGACCCAGATCATCGACAGGTTCTGGCAGCACTTGCGCGGCTTCATCAAGACCAGGAAGAGCTCCGTTGGCTCGGTGTCATTGAACGCCAGGGTCCGATCGGCCCAGTGGGCGTACTGGCATGCCAACGAGGACCTGTGGCTGGAGACTGGCAAGATGTTCAGCCGCTTGAGGGGGAAGTAGCTTGTAGACCGCAGGCTTAGGGGAGCGCGGCAGGGCGCTTATGAGTAGGCGAGGCCGTGCACGCAACCAGAAGCGCATTGCGCAGCAGAGAAATCAGATGTTCAGCCGCTTGAGGGGGAAGTAGCTTGTAGACCGCAGGCTTAGGGGAGCGCGGCAGGGCGCTTATGAGTAGGCGAGGCCGTGCACGCAACCAGAAGCGCATTGCGCAGCAGAGAAATCTTGAAGCTCACGAAACCTGGCCAGGCGTTTCTCCTGTCTCGGAGCTAAGGAAACTTTGCCAAGCGTGGTGTTTGGTTTCTCTCTAGTCTGGTGGCTCGCGATACCTGGAAAGTCGCTGGTTTTGATTGGTTTGCTGGTCTGGGAGGCATGAGAACCTGTGATTTCATGGGTTTTTCTGGTTTTTCTGGTCTGGGAAGCAGGAAAACCTGTGATTTCATTGGTTTTTCTGGTTTTTCTGGTCTGGGAAGCAGGAAAACCTCTGATTTCATTGGTTTTTCGGTCGCAGGTTTTCCTTCCCCCCAGACCAGAAAAACCATAAAAACCAATGAAATCACAGGTTTCCCTGCTTCCCAGACCAGAAAAACCAGAAAAACCAATGAAATCACAGGTTTTCCTGCTTCCCAGACCAGAAAAACCAGAAAAACCAATGAAATCACAGGTTTTCTTTGCCCCCAGACCAGAAAAACCAGAAAAACCAATGAAATCAGCGGTTTTCCTGTTTCCCAAACCAGAAAAACCAGAAAAACCAATGAAATCACAGGTTTTCCTTGCCCCCAGACCAGAACCTCTGTCCGAGTTCTCTGCGAGGTTGTAACGGTAGTTCTCTCGCATTTGAGCGGCTTTGCGCCAGCGAGGAAGGGGCGAGGAAGATACGAGGAGAGACAGACAATTCGAACGTTCATTTGAAAACCCACCAAAAGGTAGATCTTGGGGGGGGGTGCGACCATATATATATATATATGTATATATATAACAACTATATATAATTATATATATATATATATATATATATATATATATATATATATACACATATATATTATTATTTATATATAAAAAAAATAAAAAAAACAAAAAAAAAAAAAAAAAACCAAAAAAAAAAAAAAAAAAAAAAAAAAAAAAAAAAAAAAAAAAAAAAAAAAAAAAAAAAAAAAAACGATGGCTTATGAAGAATTCGCAAGAGCACGCGCGCGTATTCTTTTGAAAGCCCGCGTTGCGAAACCCAGTTTTATTTCTCTTGGACATTCGATTTGGGAACCCTTCCGAAACCGACGGTTTTTGAATGATTTCGGCATGCGCGCGCGACGACGCGAGCGTGTGCATTTCGTCCATTTCAGCCAGGGATGCGCGAAAATTTGCGATTTCTGATAAAAACGAGCGCGCGCGCATAGTTTTCTGTTGCAGAGGACGGCGGGGGGGCCGATACCGGCTTGGCTGGGGTAGTATTAATTCAAAGGTGGGATTGACATTGGGTCAGAATCCGACGCGCTTTGCATCGCTTACCGGGGGGTCTTCAAGTCCGGGGGGGGGGTAGAACCTATTTCTTTTTAGAAAGGAGAATATACGCGGTGCAAGTAATCACTTGCTCAACTTTGAAGTTGCCCACTCCACTGCTCGCGCAAACATCCCACCCACCCACCCGCAACTTGGCCTGCAAACCCCATGCGGAAGCGATTACGATGAGTGCTTGGCGTTGGCTGGTGCATCTCTGCGGCCGCGCCAGCCCGCGCACGCTCGCGCCAGCTAGTCTGGCGCGACCGACGCGAACGCGGTGGCGCTGACCGCTCGGCACATTCCAGCGGGCACTTCACTGCGAGTCGGCGACTTGGGCGGGCGCGGTATCATGGCAACGTCGACAACGGTAGACACGATGATGATAGTAGCGATGATGGTGGCGATGCTGACAGCGACGACGGGGCAGCCAGTGACGGCGCCGATGCTGATCACGCCGACGACGATGACGGCGTCTTCGCGTCGGTGGCGGAGGTTTTGAAAGGAGTTCGAAATGCGCGCGGCAGACGCGCGAGAGTGGCCCGCATGGTGTTATTTGACATGGATCGTGCCACCCCAGCACGCGCGCAAGGGCGTCCGAACGATTTCGACATGAGCGCGCGAAGCCCGTTTGGTAGCACGTTCTGAACATGTTGAACAATTCCTGCTTCCCTTAAGAATTCGCAAGAGCGCGCGCAAGCTTTTCTTTTTTGGGGGAATCCGTTCTGCGAAACTATGTATGGTTATATTTCTTTTTGGACACTCGATTTTGAAACCGTTCCGAAACCGATGGTTTTTGAAGGATTGTGGCATGCGCGCGCGACGGCGCGCGCGCGTGCACTTTGTTTTTTCTGTTGCAAGGGATGTTTGAAAACTTGATTCAGATAGAAACGAATGCGCGCGCATAGTTTTCCTGTTGCAGAGGACGGCGGGGGGGGGCGATACTGGCTTGGCTGGGATAGTACTAGTTCAAAGGTGGGATGGACATTGGGTCAGAATTTGCATTGCTTCCCGGGGGGTCTTCAAGTCCGGGGGGGGGAGAGGGTGGTAGAACAGATGTCTCTTTAGAAAGGAGAATGTACGCGATGCAAGTAATCACTTGCTCAACTTGAAGTTGTCCATTCCACTGCTCGCGAAAACATCCCACCCACCCACCCGCAACTTGGCTTGCAAACCCAATGCGGAAGCGACTACGACGAGTGCCTGGCATTGGTTGGTGCATCTCTGCGGTCGCGCCAGCCCGCGCACGCTCGCGCGCGCAGCGGCCAGCTAGTTTGGCGCGACCGACGCAATCGCGGTGGCGCTGACCTGTCGGTACATGCCAGCGGGCATTTCAGTGCGAGTCGGCGACTTGGGCGGGCGCGGTATCATGGCAACGTCGACAACGGTAGACACGATGATGATAGTAGCGATGATGGTGGCGATGCTGACAGCGACGACGGGGCAGCCAGTGACGGCGCCGATGTTGATCACGCCGACGACGATGACGGCGTCTTCGCGTCGGTGGTGAATGTTTTGGAAGGAGTTCGAAGTGCGCGCGCGGCAGACGCGCGAGAGTGGCCCGCATGGTGTTATTTGACATGGATCGTGCCACCCCAGCACGCGCGCAAGGGCGTCCGAACGATTTCGACATGCGCGCGCGAAGCCCGTTTGGTAGCACGTTCTGAACATGTTGAAGAAATCACGCTTTCCCTAAGAAGTTGCAAGAGCGCGCGCAAGTTGTTGGGGAATCCGTGCTGCGAAACCATGATTGTTATATTGCGTTGGACACTCGATTTTGAAGCCCTTCCGACACCGGGGGCTTTGAACGATTTTGGCGTGCGCGCGCGAAGACGCGCGCGTGTGCACGCCGTCATTTGTTGCAAGAGATGTTTGAAGAATTGTCATCCTTTATAAAGACGAGCGCGCGCATATAATTTGTTGTAAAGGATAGCGCGGGGGGCGATATCGGCTTAGCTGGGACACTATGGGTTCACAGTTAGGATGGACGATGGGGCACAGCCATGTGTAAACTGCAATACGAAAAAAGGGGTGTCTTTAAGTCCGAGGGGGGGAGGGTGGTAGAAACTATGTTTGAAGAAAAGAAAATCTAGGGCGGTGACGGGGCGGCGATGGCGGCCACATAACCGCCAGACCGAGGACACGGCCCTGACGACGGGCGGCGACGGGGCGGCGACGGCGGCCACATAGCCGCCAGACCGAAGACACGGCCCAGTTCCTCAGAACAGAGGTAGAGCCTGTAAGTGCAGGCGCTGTTTGGGGAACCCATGTGGCTCGCTTCGCCGCGTGTCTTCGGGCATTTCTGAAAAAAGGAGTGGCGGGACGCTCTTAAAAGCAAGGCGTGGGGAGCAGGAAGGAAAATATTGGCGCCCTGAAGTCGGGCTTGACGAACAGCGGGTCCGAGTACGGACACATTGGAGCGGATTTCGATGCAGACGGACCGGTGCGACCCCATCTCCCAATCTCCCGAAGAGCATGCGAGGGCGACTGGAGCGGGGAGAGATCATGGCCTCAAGGAGTGAAGATCATGGCCTCGGTAGGAGTTAAAGTCATGAACACGGTGGAGGCTGAGGGCATGGCTGTCGCAGGGGTTTAAATCATGACCGCGAAAGGGCTGACGGTCATACTGGAAAAGGCGGTCATAATTGTGAGTGGGGTCTTGGTCAGGATGGTGAAAGGCTCCAGCTATGCACCGTGAGTGGGGTCAACGTGATGACTGGGGGGGGGGGTCAAGGCCATGTCGGGTTAGTTTCCCACAGGCTGCTGGAGAAAAGGTTGGCCCCTCGGCGAGACGCAGTTGCCAGCAAGATGTCGGGAGGGCAGCGGCAGGTCGAGTATGCCATCTTTTTTCAGACTAGCAGTCGGGCCAGAACTCAGGCCTCAGGCGCCCGTTCGGGACGATCCAGGCACCTCAAGAAGGCCCTCGACGAGGCGCAGCTGCTGGAAGGCACCGCGAGTCGAGAGAACGTCCAAAAATCAACGAGATGTTGCATGAGCCAGGATCCACGATGTCGCTGCAGGCACTTGCCCGAGAGAGGTCATGGCGCCGCTCGCTCATAGAAGTTTGTGCGTCAGGAGCTTTCTTTCTCGTCACCGCGAGCTCTTGGGAGCCTCAGTGTTGAGAGCCTTTTGCGTCGTCGCTGGCTCTTGGAAGCCGTTGTACTTAGAGCATCTCGCGCACAGCTCGTTCTTGGAAACATTGGCGTTCAAAGTTTGTACAACAGCGGCTCGCCTGAAAAGTGTTTGTCCATCCCTTGGAGCTCTTGGGAGCCTTGACGTTAAAATCGTGTCCATCATTGGGCCGTCTGTGGGCGGGCAGTTTGGCGTCAAAGCTGTGTCCGTCTCTGGACCGTCTTGGGACCCTCGGGGGGGTGATTGAGAAGTTCTTCGAGGTACATTGGGACCCTCTTGGGGTTTCTTGGAGGCTTGATGGGCTGTCTTGGGGACCTCTTTGAAACCTCCGGGGCGTCTTGGGGGCCTTTGGGACCATCTCGGGGCCCTCTTGTGCA